AACGTCCATTCCCGCCCTTCTGGATTATATTAACTATTTCTGTAGCATCTCTGGTTACACAATAAACTGGGAAAAGAGTGAATTTCTATCCTTAGTGGATAATTTTCCTGTAGAATTTCTAGAAAACGTGCCTTTCAGAGTAGTAACTGATCATTTTACCTACCTGGGGCTAAAGTTGACAAAGCGTCTGAAACACCTTTTTAAGACTAACTTTGTTGAGGCAGTGGAAAAGCTTAAAGCCAATATTGAGGCCTGGAGGACACTGCCCCTATCAATGATTGGACAGGTAAATGTGATCAAAATGGTTACTTTGCCCAGATCTTTTTCAAAATCTACCCATTTACCTAAGTGCATCCTTCTTTAAAGAACTTGATTCTATTATATTGCGCTTTGTGTGGGGCTACAAAGCACACAGGATTTTCAAAGCCCATGTACATAAATCAGCAGAAGAGGGCGGCCTCGGTCTCCCAGTATTGAAACATTACTACTGGGCAGCTAACTCCAGAGCTCTCACCTATTGGAATCATGGAGACTCCTCGGATGAGAGACAAGAGAACATTCCCTCTTGGGTAAAGCTTGAAACATCATATTTTGAAAATGCCTCTCTTTGTACATGGTTGTTTTCTTTTCCCACTCTGGATAAATCAACTCAGTCAAATTTTGTGTTAAGGAACTCACTGCGAATTTTACGACAGATTAAAGTAGCCAATAGGATTCATAGAGAGTCTACACATGCTCCCATCTGTCAAAACCCCTTATCCAAACCTGGCCAGGTTGTGTACGCAATCTGGAGGAGGAAAGGTATTACAACTTTGTCAAATCTGTATATTAATGGGTACGTTTGCTCAATTATGTAACAAGTATGATATCCCAAATTCACATTTCTTTCGTTACCTTCAAATAAGAGATATGGTAAAATACAGGTTCGAGCATTTTGAATTTCTTAGAACCTCCGACCAACCTTTCTATGACAACTTATTGCTTGCTCCCGACTCCAAACATTTAATTTCAAAATTTGTAGACTGATTCACTGCTCCGGTCTCCTCTGATTATCTTCGTGAAGCCTGGGCAAAAGATTTACATGCAGACGTACCAGTGGAGCTTTGGGCGAAAGCCTCGAGTCAGGTTCATTCTTGCTCCATTAATACCCGCTACAAACTTATTCAGTATAAGGTAATTCACAGGCTGCACTACTTAAAGACAAAACTGAGCCAGATCTTTCCATCAGTGTCCTCTCAATGTGATAAATGTAATTCTGTTTAGGGTTCTTTAGCTCATCTCTTTTGGTTTTGGCCACAACTGTTTGGATTTTGGTCTTTCATTTTCAAATAGTTTTCTAAATGCTATTCCAGGGACATCAAACCTAATCATGATCTGGCAATATTTGGATGCTCCACAGAGACCCCTGGACTTGCATCTGACATGCAGACAGGCCTGCATCTTGGGATGGTGGCTGCGAATAAATGTATACTGTTGACCTGGAAATCCACCACCCCACCCAGCTTTGAACATTGGCTAAAGGAAATGGTGTCTATGATACAAATGGAATGCCTTCGCCTGGAAAGGTCTGGCAAACAAAATAGACATGAGAGAATCTTCTTCTTGACTCAGTGACACATCACCCCAAACCCACGATGACCAGGGCACTATATACTGACATTAAAATATTATAGTGCTGTGAATGTGCAATTAGAGCATGATTGTTATGGGTCGGCTTGCACCTAACCATCACACTGTCTGGCAGCCTTTTGTTATTGCTTTTGTTTGTCCTTTTTATCTTGTTGATTAAATTAAATTTAAAAACTCAAATAAATACAATAAAATAAAATAAAAAATAAAAAAAAGCTGCAGCCACCTCGGAGGACTTTTCTGTCTGCGTACAGGATTATGCTGAGTACATGACAGGGAATATTAATACCTGTATTGACAACATTGTGCCCACCATACAAGTCAGGAGGTTTCCCAACCAGAAGCCCTGGATAAACAGTCAGGTACGCCACATGCTAGCTGATGTTCTCACACCATCTTCAATCTCTCCCTCAGCCAGAGCATCGTTCCCACCTGCTTTAAGACCACAACCATTGTCTCCCTTCCCAAGAAGAGCCCAGTCACCTACCTGAACGACTACAGGCCAGTGGCACTCACCCCAATCATTATGAAGTGTTTTGAGAGAGTGGTGCTGACCCGCATTCAGAGCAGTATACCAGGCACCCTGGACCCCCTGCAGTATGCCTACCGGCCCAACAGGGCCACCTCAGACGCCATCCGCGGCTGCCCTCC